ATATAGTCACAAGCACAGGTTCTGTTTGTACCAGTTCTCATTCTTAATCCAAATAATTTCTGGAGAATCCATTCTTGCAGTTTGCTATTCCTAGCTCATCATTACAATCTTTTCCATAAGTCAATAGTATCAAAATTTTAATGTTTCTCTGTTAAAGAGGAGTCTAAGATTGTTCTTTCTGCAACTACATTTACTGTACTTCTCACTGTAACAACCCTCAACTTAGAGTATATAGCATGTACCAGGACAAAGGGGTATTGGCAACAATCACATATGAAAGTCTATGAGCCAAATTCTTCAGTTGTTCTTCAGGCAAAACGTCCTGTGAAGTAAAAGAGTCCATCTTCTTCTCATATAAAACTTCTTTATATTGGTTTAACCACATATGTCTTCTGCTGAGGTAGTCCTGACTACTGTAAGTGTAAATGAGAAGGTATCTGCAGAATATCAGTTCTTTCTATGAGAAAGTATGTCATGAAACTCTGACCACGTTATAGCATTTATTTTTTAACTTCCATCTCACTTAAAAAATCATTATATACACAATGACCAAACGTTGAAAAAAAGGTAAAGCCCCCTGACAAACGCACACACATAGGCCTCTGCAATATTACATATAGTACTCAATTAACTGGTTAATTGTGCAATAAATTTAAACCAGCCACATGTGTAAAGTAATTATCACATGCTAAAATTGACTATCAACCTATAAAAGAGCCAACCACCTATAAAGTTAGTGCTTGAAAATGTGTAACAACTCTATAGGTTTCTATCTAGCTTTAATTTGAATGTTTAGCAGGGCCCTTATTGAATAATCTATATGTTACATCAAATTCTGATCTCTCTTACAAAGGTATACATCCAAAGTCAATGGAGTTACCACCAATCATACATTCCTGTAACCATCAAGATAATTATATCCAGACAAAATAACTATACTATTTATGTTACTAAAAATAGTAAAAAGCAAAACTTTTGTTTAGCAACAGTATTCTGAATTAATACACATTCATTTAAGAGTAACCATTTGGTTTGAATGAGCATGGCTTTTGCAGATGTATGTAAAGTCTGCAAATCTTTGAACTTTTCTGCACCAGAACCTTTTCCTTTGTTTTTTTATAGATGTGCCCCAATATGGATATGGCAAAAAAAACAGAACATACAAGACAGATGAAAGGACAAATATTGACATGACTACGGGAAACAGTATGAAACTGAAAAAAGGAAATGGAGAACTTATAAAAAAGTCCTTACTGTGGTAAATGTCGAAAATCTCCTGAATACTGTTCATATTTGTAGTTCACAACATGCCACTGGGAACTGTAATATTTACATGCCTAAAAAAGGAAGGAAGAAAATGATTATGTCAAATTCAAGAAAGGCAACAATACAGAGAAATAATTCAAGTAGCCTTTCTCGTAAGGGAAGTGAATATTCTCCTGTTTTATAGCTTGGTAGTGCAATTCTTAAAGGAAAATTAATTTCATATTCCTTTGAGTTCTAACACACACTTTCCCTTTAAAATCATGTGGGCTTGAAAACCACCTGCAGTGGAGCTCTGAGTCCATCCTCCTGCTTCAAGAAAGGTTTTATTAAAATTGTCTCTATGCCACCTCAATAATTGGGTTCTCAGGTTAGCTTTGACTGTCTCCACTGATGTCAATGACACATCTTCTCTTTGTACTTTGTTTTGTTACCTAACTCTGCTACAGTCAATATACTTACCCCACCGATTCAATTCCCACCCCAACAACCTAAGACCTTACTTCCTGGTGAGTCTCAAGGACTGATCTCTTTTTTCCTTTATAATATTTTATAATGTATTTATAATGTTATTGTATCTAATATGAGTTGTATTATCTCTGTATTAAATCTGCCCCATTTGCTAAACATTCTCCTCTCCGTTCTTATTTTCTAAAGTTTTTGTCAGTTTTGCAGCTGTCTTCTGAACTTTCCTTAATAAATCCATAGGCTTCACTACAGTATGAATTAATATAACCACTGGACAGTGTAGATACAGATCACATGGAAGCCCTGCTAATAGCATGAAATGAATTAGGCCCCAATGAATACATAACTAGGCATACCACATATGGCTTGTACAGGAGTACTAGGAATTAGGGCTGTGCGAAGCTTCAGCAAAGATTTGGCCTGATTCAGTAGCCGAATCTCCTAATCCTAATCGAATCAGAAGGTGCTTTAATCACTCTGAATCAAATTGGAACCCTCCAAATTGATTCAGAGGGGTTCAGAAAGATTCAGCGATTTGGATATAGACACAACTTTAAATGGTTTTTCCATATACCTCTAGGTGGCAGGCATGGACCATCCCATGGCGCATGGAGTCTCCCACAGAAATGAGGGGGCTCACCAGCGCGCTTGGCAGCAGACCCAGAAGTAGATCAGAAGCACTTCCAGTCCACTTCCAGGTCTGCTGGGGAGTGCGCAGGCCCATCCCTTCCCCCCCACCAGCTCAGTGACTAGTGTCTCCTGGGTCTGGGGAGGGCACCCAGGGTCCCCCCTGCGGCTGATCGTTGAGCCGGGGGGAGGGGGGGGGCTGCACGCTCCCTGGTGGACCCGGAAGTGGAACAGAAGTACTTCTGTTCCACTTCCAGATTTGCCACTGAACATGTGGAGGCCCCCCCCCCGCATTCCCGTGGGATGGTCCATGCACCCCAGCATTGCAGTGTTTACAAGCCACACCTGTGACATAGACATTTAAAGCTGTGTCTATGTCCAAATTGCTGGTTCTCCAAATCAGCATTGAATCTTCAGATTCGGTTTCAGCTGAATCAAATCAGGGACAGTGATCCAAATCACTGCCCCTGATTTGGGCCAACTCTGAATCAAATATGGCCTGGTTTGCACACCCCTACTGGGTCTGTAGTTCATTTGTTTTAAAGGAGCCTTCAAGGTCAACAGATGGAGAGTGAATTGATGATACCAGTACAGGATAGAATCACAGAATCACATAAAGTTAGGGTTGGAAGGGACTTCAGGAGGTCATATAGTCCAACCCCCTGCTCAAATCAAGACCATCCCCAACTAAATTATTCCAGCAAAGGCTGTCTCTAGCTGGGTTTCAAAAATTGCCATTCCAGTACTCACCACCCTCCTAGTGAGAAAGTTTTTCCTAATATCCAACCTAAAGTTCCCTTGCTGCAACTTGAGATGATTGGTCCTTGCTCTGTCATCTGTCACTACTGAGAACAGTTTAGCTCCATCCTCTTTGGACCACCCTTCAGGTAGTTGAAGGCTGCTATCAAATCTGCTCTCAGTCTTCTCTTCTGCAGACTAAATAAACCCAGTTCCCTCAGCCTCTCCTCATAAATCATTTGCCCCAGCCCGGGCGAATTTTCCGTTGCTCTCCCCTGGCCTCTCCCCAACTTGCCCACATCCTTTCTATAGTGTGGGGCCCAAAACTGGACACAGTACTGCAGATGTGGCCTCACCAGTGCAGCATAGAGAGGAATAATTACTTCCCTCGACCTGCTGGCAATGCTCCTACTAATCCAGTGCAGTATGCTGTTAGCCTTCTTGCCAACAAGGGCACATTGTTGAATCATATCCAGCTTATTGCCCACTGTAGCCCCCAGGTCTTTTTGTGCAGAGCTGCTGCTTTGCCAGTCAGTCCCTGAGCTGAGGGCAGTTTGTGATCAGCCAGCAGAGGAGAAACACCTCCCTGCTGAGCTCTGCTAGGAATACTGCGGAGGTAAGGGTGAGGCAATGGAGATGGCTTGGAGGCCTCACTGGTCCTGAGCAAGACCTAAAACCGCACCCTGCCAGGGCAAGGAGGCCTGGTGAGGATGCCAGTTGGTGTGGCAGCCCCCATGTAAATGCCAGGAGTGAGCATCTCCCTGGTGTAAGGCGGGTCAAGGTGCCTTAACCTCAGGCCCCACCTTCAGGTGGATTATATAATGCAGGGATGGCCAGGTAAGCTTCTTAAAGTGCCAGAGCCTGCTGGGGTGAGTGGTCCCGTGGGGCCAGGCATGCTTTGTGAAGCACCTGAGCTGAGAATGGGGACCCCCGAACCCTGTGATCAGGCAAAGAGCTCAGACCTGACGCAAGGGACCTGACTGGTCCATGCTGGGGCCTGGACCCAGAGAGAGGTCAAAAGGGCCAGGGGCCCACCGTGAGGGATGCCCAGAGAGCAGGAGGCTCAGGATCCTGCCTGGTCTGAGATGGGCCAGGGCCTAAGGGGGAGTCAAGATCTCAGAGAGGGGACCACAGATAATGAGCAAAGGGTATGGGTGAGTTTAGCTGCCTGGAATGATATATACTGTGTGGCTTGGGCCTCAGTTTAGGGGTGCAATGGAGCTGTGGATACTCCCCTAAACATCGGGGCTCAAAATGGGCAGCCTCCTGCCTGATTAATACCCAAATACTATTACATCAAGGCATGGCAGGTGAGCGGGGTGGATGGCTGGCCCATAGACAGGAGGCAGGCCAGTGCTTGCACTGGGTGTGAAAGCTTGTCCCTGTCACAGAGGAGTAAACAGGAATGGATCTCACAGTAAAGAGAGGCATGAGATTCTAGGAAAAAGAAAGAGAGATGGGACAAAATAAAAAAACCCAAAAACCCAAAGTTGTTGCAGAACACGAAGGCAAGAATTCAAGGAGCAAATCTGAAAGAAACTTGGATACCGTGCTCAATAAATGGGTCGGCTCCTATTCACAGACTAAATGGTTCAGTTGGGAGTACTTCCTGCAGCTCTTCTCAGTAGTCTGTCATGGACCACAGAGCCTGTGCTGTGGAGAGTGACTCATAGGGCTACCATAATTAAAGAAAACGAAGAGAAACAACTCTCAGTCCTCTGGCGTGTGGGCTGAAATGGCCTTAGAAATTCAGGGTGGCAATTTCCAAAGGGTGCAGTATTGGCCTAAAACTATTCCCATTGAAGCTTATTGTTAAACATTTTCATAGACGTGACCACAAATTTACAAATTCAGGGAAAAATAAGGAATGGGAACATTTTCAATGTTGTTTTCGTATTATCTGCATTGATTCCACTGCATATGAATGAAAATTGCATTGAAAATGTATAAGGTGTTACTTCCCTCATAAATATTCATAGATTTCATAGACATTAGGGCTGGAAGGGACCTTGGAAGATCATTGAGTCCAGCCCCCCACCCAAAGGGCAGGAAGTCAGCTGGGGTCATAGGATCCCAGCAAGATAAGCATCCAATTTGCTCTTGAAGGTGTTCAATGTAGGTGCTTGAACCATCTCCGACGGCAGGCTGTTCCAGATCTTGGGGGCTTGGGCAGTAAAGAAATTCTATCTTATGTCCAGCCTGAAATGGTCTTGCAGTAGTTTATAACCGTTTGACCTCGTCATCCCTTAGGGTGCTCTGGTGAACAAACGTTCCCCAGCTACTGATGGTCACCCCTGATAAACTTATAGGTAGCCATCAGCTCACCCCTGAGCCTGCACTTTTCCAGGCTAAAGAGCCTCATAGATCTCAGCCTGTCGTTGTAAGGTCTGTTTTCCTGACCTCTGATCATGTGCGTGGCTCTTCTCTGGACTCCCTCAAGCTTCTCCGCATCGTTTTTGAATTGTGGAGCTCAAAACTGGACACAGTACTCCAGCTGCGGCCTAACCAAGCCCGAGTACGAGGGGAGAATGATGTCCCGGGATTTGCTTGAGAAG